AGTGGTCAGCAGGAAGTCATTAGCTAAAATGTTCCAGATGAGTATAAAATGATCATCCAACAAAGGGTTTCACTAATTTTATTCTGTAGCAAGAACCACATTTATTTTTAAAAGAAGCACGATTAGAAGTAATCATCTCTACTATACTCTCATCCTCAAGACAGCCATCTTGCAAGAGCAATTTACTAAAATTCATAAAAAACCTGTCAAACTTACATTTTTATAATGTCGAATAGGGGGGCCCAATGACATCGAGTCTAGAGCAGCATGAGATGCTAATTGCCTCTGTTCCCGTAACATCCTTAACTTTGCCACTCGCCTTCTCCATAACCTGACAGAAAGACAAGGACAAGGACTTAAAAATAGTAATGAAACAAGGACAATGACTTAAAAATAGTAAAATGCCACATTATATATGAAAAAATCTAAAACTGTGTAATGAAACAAGGCATAAAAACCTTAAGAACAATTTCAGCTTGGCCTCAGCAATTTCCTCATCTCGACAATTTTCTGTAACTTCATTAATTTTATCTTCATGTTTTTGGTGAGTAATCAGAGACTCGTCCTTGGATACATCCTGAACCACAGGAGGTGGCACAGAAAAACTATAACCTAAGGAATTTTCTGGTGGAGCTGGTTTTAGTACAATCTCCAATGGCCTTCGATCAACATTAAACTGAAAGTTTCTCTTTGGAGAGCCTCTGGGACTAGGAATCATATCAGAATTGGTACTCTTTAAAATATCAATTCTAGTAGGTTGTGGTTCAGGTATAATATTACGAAAAGGAAAGCTCAACGGAGATGGACGATTACTGGACATATCATGATCTTTTTGACTGTCCTGAACATCCTTTAGTGCCTTTCTTGATTTACTATGCCTTGGGGAGAAAATAGGTTTAGGGTCTGGAATTTCCTCATCAAGTTTCTGGACAGACTTATCATTTTTAACAGCTGAAACTACTTGTGGCTCATGCTTGTATGCCTTCCTCATCTGAATCTCCTTCATAGTCTCAACATGTGGTGATTCGGCATGAATTGAAGGTGAAAAATCTTCAATTATCCTTCCAGACCTTTTCTTGAGCACAAGTTTTGAACACTTAGTGGGATAGTCAACATCAACATTGAGAAATGGGCCTTCCTTCACCATATATGGTTCTTCAAATGTTTTTAGCGAGAAGCCATGATACTCCAAGAGACCCTCTATGCCTTCATCCTAATGAAATAACAAAGGTGAATGTAAGAGAAAGTTGGAAAATACAGCAACACAATCCCCTGCCCCAGGCACTCAACCCACACACAGAAAAAGGAAAAAATGAGACAGCAAACATTCACATCTATCCAAGAAATATACCTCCAGAGCAAGCCAGTTAGCAACATGAGCAGCAGGTAGACCTTGGTTATTCAGCAGACCAGAATGTAGAGAAGCCAGTGCCTGGGTACGCAACTGGTAAAAGTAACACATGACATAAAAGGTTAGTATAAAAGGAAGACATTGAACGTTGTGTAGTGTATGCCCACATATTCCCTTTATTTATAATCATGTATTAGGGTACAATAGGATCAAGAGAAGTGTTAGCAATACTCTCTAACACACCTCTTAACACACTCACTTTTATTGGTTTTAATTTATTAGAAACTACAAAATCAAGAGAGAAAGTCATTAAATAAAGTGTGAAATCCACCAAATTTTGGATTTTTCAATAAATTTCAACTAATTAAGAGTGTGTTTATAAGAGTGTGTCAGAAAATGTGTTGCTAGCATTTCTCATCGGATCAATTATAAATTCAAAAGAATCAATCTAAATCCTTAATTTGTAGAAGCAGATATTGACATGTAATAAGTGTGCTTTTCTAATGCTCCCTCTCAAGCAAGAACATATATGTCATATGATCCAAGCTTGTTCCAGCTATACTCAACCCGAGAACTTGAGTAACTTAGTGAAATGTCAGCCAGTTGGTCACTAGAGCCAACAAAATCAGTAGTGATTTCTCCTAACAGCACCTTCTCTCTTACAAAGTGGCAATTTATAAATGTTTTTAGTTCATTCATGAAAAACTGGATTTGATGCAATGTGAGAAGCGAATACGTTCAGTATCTTAAATGTATACAAACTTTAGCTGTTGGTGGAGTTGCCTAAGCCATGTAATATATCATGCAGCCGCTTAGGAAGTTTCAATATCTACATGCCCTAATTTGTAGTAACGGTTATTTCCATATTGACATGTAACAAATACTTCATTTTTTTACATGCAACGGATATTTCTATTTTTTACATGCAACGAATGAATCTAAATCCATAATTTGTAGTAACAGACATTTCCACTTTTACATGTAACAAGTTTGATTTTCCAACAGATAGGATTTTTTTATCAAATGTAACTTAGTCACACCATAACCAAAATCATTACTAAAGTGAATCCCACTAGGCATGGCAAATGTCCCTGGACACAAACCCGCCTTGATTTTGATGAGTTTTCCCCACTTTGACCGGGGTTGGGGACAAGTTTACCCCCAATTATCAAAGACGAGGAGGGTGGGGATGTTGATATATGCCTCGCCCCCAAACCCACTCAACTACAAAATTATCCTTATATGTAATTGTCTCTCATCACTAGGTTCTCATGTCCCTCTTTTGATTCTGATTACATTCTGACTCTCAGATCTCATTCATTATGGTGTATCACTCATCTGTTAATGTTAGGTGGTTTGTGAATGAGGAGCAAGTGCAACAACAATGGTGGCACTTTGTGGAGGAAAGTGTTGATGCACTTGTGATGGTGGGGATGGGGGCAGGGCAGGGGCAGATACTCTTCTTTTTACACCCAGAGGGGATCAGGGGTGGGGGCAAGGGTGATGTTGCCAACCCTAAATTCCAAACAGTTCTTCCTAATAATGTGTTGCAGACTCAAAGAGCTCCCATCACAAAAATAAAATAAAATTAATTTTTCCGAGTAATCATTTAGAAATTTATGCACCAGAAGACAGCTGCTCTGTACAAAAATGAACAAGAAAAACCTTGCCATTAAGCATGAAAAATTGACACTATTGTCATATATCACATAATTAATCTGCATATCTAACATGTTCTTGAAGGAGAAGAAACTACTTCAGTTTGTCTCCAATCAACTTAAGCAATTTCCTAAATTGCCTGCAATGATTGAGTAAATGTATTGCAGCCCTAAGCATCACAAGGGCAAGTCCAATCATATTGCCTTTGTTGAGCACAAAATAGAAGACTGGAATATCCTATACCTTCGCAAAGTGAGCATGCATTAGACATGCTTGAAGATAAGTTGCTTTTCTTGCAAGCCGGAAGAAGGCAATAAAATTACCAGTTCGGCACGCTCTGCAAAACCAAACAAGAAGGAATGGTCAAATTGCAAACATAATAACCACCCCCACCTCAAAACCAAACTAACTGCTACAGGAATTACAACCTGGCTACACTGCGAGCAAATAGAACTTCTGGAGTCTGCCTTATCTCTGGAGTCATCTTAGCAATTTCAAGGGAGAGCTCTGCAGGTTCAACCTAGCATGACTTTCTTAGTTCCTTGTTTTTTTCATAGCAAATCAAACCATACAAATTGAATCTTCACAAAGGTTACTTACTTTATAACCTGGATGCTTATCCAATTTAAGAAGAGCATAATAGCCTCGAAACTCTTTTTCAGTGGGAATATTAATTCCTTTCTTTCTGTGATCATCATACATCTGGAACAGTTCAACCGAAGTTTTGTTCATCTGTTCAATATTGAGATGAGCATCAAAGCCCTCAGAAAATCCTTCTCCTTTAGTGTATTCACATAATTCATGCATTGCAATGATGTGTAATTTTATCTGAAACCACAGAAATCAGCTGCTTCATTAGTTTTCATAATCATCATGTTCTAGATATCAAAAAATTAGTCTACTAAAACATAAATATGAAATTGATAACCTAATTCATATATTTGATATAAATTGTACGAATCCACATACTTTTAGAGAACTATGAGGGGAAAAAAGCTTGATATTATCTCTTAAATAAGAACAACAATTTGGATTTTATACGTCTTATTACAAGAAAAGCATGAATATAAGCTTTGGCATATGCTTTTGATTGTACTATTACTATACTAATAAGGATTATCCAAACAAACTGGAAAATCAAGGCATCTCACAAGCTATACATGTTCCAGTGAGTCAGTGACTAATAACAACTTGTGGCAGTAATGTCACAACACCAGACATGACTAAACCAAAAGGAAATTTTCTGAAAGAAAAAATCAACAGGTGCCCAAGTTCAAAAATATACAAGTATTGGTGCAACAAATCAAGACTAATTCAGACAGCATAACTTTAGACTAACAAGAGACACTTGATCATCAGTCCAACTCATTCAAGGTCCTTCAGTGAAAAGTTCACACTGCTAAAATTTAATAGTGCACAATGGATGAGTTACATGTTTCCATATTTTAGGCTGATAATGGGAGATTTTATGTTTCCATTGGGAAGTAGAAAAACTGTAACTGTAAATGTTTCCCCAAGTATTTTAAACCCAAGCTTTTTACCATGCATGTTTGTTTATATAAGAGGTGACTAGAACCAATGTTTATGAGCATGTATGGAAAAAACAAACAGTGATGATATGGCCACAAGGAAGTACCATCTGTTCCAGCATAGTAATAGCTGCTTGATTGAAAATGTGCTGCATTCTCAGGTCCATCCGGATTGCTCTCATCCTATCCCACAAAAAGTTGTACACACCAAGAAACCTCTCATCATAAGGCTGATCTAGCAAAGTGAGAAGATAATCAATTGTCTTCTGCAGGATGGGCATAGGCCGGATCAAACTGGCTTCCCTCTCTGCTGTCCTAGTATACTGTCATGAATCATGATTTATGTTATTAATAATAATACTTGAAAAGGTAGTAAGCTGTTTTGTTGGAAAAACAATTGTATTTACTAATATGACAGGCACCTTCTTAACTGCAAGAAGACTGCTAGTTACATTTCTATCCCCATCAACGCGTTCATATTGGTCAAGATCTCCTTTTCTTTCACGCTCTCCCCTTTCTGACTCTGAGACAAATTAAAATTTGGGGATAAGTTTTCAGCCTGTGCAACATTTTTTAACATCCAAAAGAAACTCCAATATTTAGTCAGCAATGGGGTTCTCTCAAACTACAGTTTCCCACATTAAAAACAAATAAGGAATCCCAAATGTTTCTTGAGAAAAGATTATTTCATGTTTAGAATTTGAGATCAGACAAAATATAACAATCACACAGATTCACTCTCAGATTTAAAATCTGAGAAATATACCTGGACACATATCTGGACATAAGCCAATGATTACACTAGACGTTTCTAAGCCTTCATTATCAGAAACAGCATGGCCACTGGTAAAGTTGCTTGCTGAATCTATTAAATGCCCCCTCACGTATTTCTGCTCCAACTTGGACTGTTCATGTCTATTTGCAAAAGCCTTCTGATCGGTAATATCAGCATTACTTGGTTCTGATTTGCTTAGTTCTACCTTAAACCGAGCTAAACGCTTTGCCTTGGCTAACATTTCACTGAACAACACAATAAGAATAAAGATCCTTTAAGAATAAATAGTTTAAGATAAAATACATTTATAATGGACAAAAAAATGGTGCTATTGCACCTAATATCTTACCGTTCAGAGTTGTCTTCTGAGAAAATTGAGCTTCCTTCAAGGGTTTCATTGGCTGCAAATGATGGAGGTGATCTTGTTCTTTTAGGAGCAATAGAGCCAATGGGCTTGCTTATAGTGGCTTCAGAAACAATAGACGGAAGAGTTTTCTGGTGAATTTGTGAATGAGGGACAGTCCTTGGAACATTTGATGTACTTCCCAATCTAGGAGGAGACATAGAAGGCCTGGAAGAAGAACCATTAAACAGGCTCAAAAAATTAGAGATGGGACTTCACATTTTTCAGGGAAGTCATGGACATAAAGATGATGCTATGCATGAACTATTAGCATAATGAATCTAAATTAATATCTAAAATATTGTCATATTGTTTTTCTCAACATAAGGAAACACCAAAAAGGGCTAAGCTATCTGTTCCATTTACTCATTTCAGTTATCCATGTGGATATACTATAACCTTGAATTCAGCGAACTGAGACTTAGGAGGATTTTTTCATGGAAAAAGTTGTTTCATTATAAAGTTCGAAACAACAGAAACTGATATAATATAATCATTCGAAAGTCATCTCATATTTTAAAGATATAACATAACTTTAGTCTATAAGACTGGACTGACATATTTCTGGTTTATACATATGATATTCAACTCCAAACAAGAAAAAACTGATGCAAGGGTTAAGGCCATGATACATGATAAATTTAAAGAAATATGATAGTATTACATTTTATAGTTATCTTACTTATTTCTTAGGACAGTTTGATCAGAATTCCTCAAAGCATCAACATCCGCATATGATATGGTAGATCTGGTTCTCTCTGGGTTTGGAAATCTTGAAACTCTGGCTGTAACACCAGTTACGGAATCACGTGAAGCAATAAATGTTGCAACTGAAATGGGCCTTTCAGGAGTATGGGCATCCAAATCGTTATAATGTTTCTGCCCATCACTCCAACTGGAAGAGTCAATTGATCTGAAAGAAAATATGAAATATGAAAATGCATCACACAATGGACGTGTAAAGGTAAACTATAACCACAAAAAATATCTTGTCCAAACAAAGGAAAAACATAAGTTCTTTTCAAAAAAAAAATTGGTTGTAAAAAAGTGAACCTTGTTTTGCCATAACAGGTGGGATGGGAACTTTGTGTATGTGAAAGAGAAAAAAACAAAAGAAACAATCAAATGGGTATCACCAAAAGTGTACACGGAAACTGTTTTGGCTTTTATCCAAATTCTAATATGTAACTATTGCTCCTATTATACCCAACAATATTTTCAGAGCTAAACACAGCAACCGAAGTTGATAAAAGGACATTAATGTGAACCTGCACAAAACCACACCACATATCAACAGCCAAGCTTTATCCCACATTTCCACTACGTAAAGTCGGCTACATGGATTAAACAACGTCATTGAGAGTAAAGATTATTTTTATGGTTTCTTCAATTCTTAGATTTTATTCAATCTGTCTCTACCCCTTCTAAGTGGAGTATCTTGCAATCAACACACTCTTCACATTGGGCACTGTGTTGAAGTTGAACTTCCCCGCACATAACCAAACCACCAAAGAGGAGTTTCCATCATCTTCTCCTTAATAGACAGCAACTTACTCCCAAATAGTTATGTCCTTTTTGTTCCTAATCTTTTATCTTTTCTTGTATGTCCACTGTTCCACTTCAATATGTTACACTGATATTTTGCTCAGGTGCCCAACATTCACTATCTTAAGAGAATCATGAGCATTATATTAGTACAATAGAAAATCCCTTCATTTACAAAGGCCTTTAATTTAACCATCACAGATTACATCCAAAGCATTTCTCCATTTTATCTATCCAGCTTAAACCCCAAATTTTAGTGTTTTGTTACATCTCCGTCAGTTGTACACTAATCCAGGATGCCTAAATCACGTAAATTGTGGTATAAACTGATGTGATCCCCAATTTTCACCTCCAAAACACTGCTAACATATGCCCACCCTCTTACTCCTATTTAAATAAAATAATCACTAATGCAAGAAGCAGCCAAAAAGATTTGAATCCTTCTTAGAATTTGGGTGTCAGCCTAACTTAAACTAAAAGCTAACCCATGAGGTGAGGGTTGCTCAAACATACACTATTTTGATCATATCACTAGTAAAGACTATTTATATCAAAATATGATCCTTCACGGAAAATTGGCATATTCTTAAAATCTAGAGGAAACTCACGTAACAACGTAAGGGAAAGGGTTAAATTAAACGCTTTCTGATTCAAATTCCTCGTTCCATTTCAACGTGGGAAAAAACCCAGTAAAAAAAATAGATTTTAGGGGTTTATCTGAGGATATTGATGAATGAAGATAAAGGGTGTTGAAGAATGGACGTACCTAGGCGTGGGTTGCGGCGAAGGAGCAGGAACAGGAGAAGGGTTGGTGAGACCAAAAGAGGGTTGGGATTTGAGAGGTGCGGTGGGTCCAGAAGCCTTTCCGAATCCCCCATACGACGCCATTTTCTTCTCCTTATTCCTCTTCTATGGCATTAGGGAATGGAAGCGAATGAAACAAGTCCAATGTTTCGGTTCTTGCTCTTATAACGACAACCAAACCAAACAAACGAGGTTAAGGTATCGTTTTTCTCAGAGGCCAAGCAAGAGTGAAGTGATTAATCGATCAAAATTGGCAGAAGGAGAAGCCAAGCCATTTTAAATACATTGAAATTTTCAATTTCGATTTAGGTTCGCACTTTCGCACAATGAATTGGGAGCCAAAATTTTCATTTCATCTAATTTGGTAATTTTGGCTTAACGGCTTGTTTAATTTACTTGTCATCACTCTATTTTGATTTGATCTTTTAAAAAAAAAATAATATATATATATATATATATATATATATATATATATATATGTGTGTGTGTGTGT